GAGGAATTAGTTCCAGATTATTAAAAACCTTCAAAGTCCTTAAATCTTTCCATAATTTATCTTATCATCCCAGTTTTTTTTTTCATATTACCAGATCCTGCTTGCCAAGTGAAGGTACCTTTTAAAATCATCTAAAAAATAGTGAAGAGCAATTTCAGAGAGACACAGTTATCAATTGTTCTTCCTAAAGTATCGATCTATTTTTTCCCCCCTAATTGTTGAGAATCCTCTTCCAGCTTAATGAATTCCACTAGCTGTCATTCCACTTAGCTCATTCCTTCTCAGCCCTGGTGAAAGACGGCCTCGAGACCAGAAGAACAGCTGCTTCTCAGTTCAGAATTATGAACATAGTATGTGTCTCAACACATCACAGTTGTTGTGCATAGAACAGATGGGACCCTGATCTCCCAGTAGACCTATGGGACCCTTGTCTTGAATGTTAAACAATGACCCACAGAGATAGGGTAATTTGTTTTCTCCAGTTAATAGTCCCTTCTACAGCCTAGAATACTTCACGTGCAAGGACACGTGAGTGGGTTTGAGGCTTTCACGCTGGGGCTCCCTGGCTTCTAGCCAGAATTTTTGTTTGCTGAAACAGACATGTCTGGCACTGTAATGTGGCAAAAACTTGTCAACACGCAGGGCTTTTCTCTGCTTTCCAAATACATGTGGGGCCAAGCTGCCTTCAAATGAAGCTTTGATATTTTCTGGGGAAACCAAGTGTAATATGCAAGTCAGGAAAAGTGAGTGGTGATAACATAGTTGAAAACAAAAAGGAAGCTATCTGTACATCAGAGAATAAATCCTGATCAGCTGATAACTTTACTGAAATGATTTTTAGGTGTAAATGTCAGCCTAGATTGATTCTGACTTAGTGTCGCCTTAGGGAGTATGTGTTTACAATAGAAGCTTTATCCTGAAGGATTTTTTGGAAAGGCCACATTTTTTCATGAAAAGTAGACTGATGGGCAGTTGAACTCACATTCTCCAGCAGGTTACCCCTCTCTTTTAATGGTAATTCAGTTTTTCAGGTCAAACAGCTTAGGAAATGTCCTTTCATTTTCACCTACTAAACACAAAGATCTCTGGAATTGGAAACCTTTGCTAATAGCTTTAGCCTGATGCCTGAGACCCATAGGTGCATGAGCAAAATGCATAGTAAACTTCAGGAGTTAGGACTCAGGAGTCCAGTGAACAAGGAGGTGGGATGGGAGAGAAAGTGCTCGTGTCACATTACTCGGTAGGGAAGAGCTTGACAAACACTAATTTATCTGAGGCAGAATGTTGTACCAAGGAGAGAAACAATTTAATCATCCCACAGGATTTTTTCTTTTTCCTAGACCTCAGCCTAGTCCCAGTCAGGGTCTGTCTTGGTTATGACTAGGAATGGACAATCATCATAAGAATTCTTGGGTCATCTCTCACTCGTCATGGTTCCATTATTTCCTCTCCAGGTCAAAAAAAATATTTCATATTTCAGGATCCTAGTAGTTTCTACTTTTAGCTTCTCAGTGACAATATCTTTCAGAGGAACCCTCTTTGTTTTCTCTAATTGAGTTTCTTCTTTAGCTAAGGTATAGAAGGGGTACAGTAGACTTTAGAATAAGGCTGTTAGGAGTTTTGTTTTAAACATGTGAAATTTGAGATGTCTCGTAGTGGTTACCAACCAAACAGGCTGCTAACCTCAAGGTCAGCAGTTCAAAACTACCAGCGGTTCCACAGGAGAAAGATGAGGCGTTCTGCTCCCATAAAGATTTACAGCCTCGGAAACCCTGTGCAGGGTCGCTATGAGTCGGAACAGACTCCACGGTACTTATCAACAACAACAACATTTAACATTAGACATCAATCTGTATGCAGAGCAAATAACTCAAGAAGCTGGATTATATGAAGAAGAGGGTGGAATCAGGATTAGAGGAAGACTCATCCACCTGCAAAATGTAGATGGCACAACCTTGCTTGCTTAAAGTGAAGAGGACTTAAAATACTAATGAAGGTCAAATACTTCAGGATGGGTTAAACCTCAATGTATATAAAGCAAAAATCTTCACAACTAGACTAATAAATAGCATCATGATAAATGGAGAAGATTGAAGTTGTCAAAACCTTAATTTTTCTTGGATCCACAATCATGGAAGTAGCAGTCAAGAAATCAAATGGCTTATTTCTTTGGGAAAATCTGCTTAAAGAGTACAAGAGTAAAAATGCCGGTTTGAGGACTCAGGTATGCCAGATCCAAGCTATGATATTTTCAATAGCCTCTTATGCGTGTGAAAGTTGAACAGTGAAAACAGAATCCTGTAGAAGAATTGATGTATTTGAGTTATGGTGTTGGAGAAGAACATCTAAAATACCATGGACTGCCAGAAGGACAAACAAATCTGTCTTGGAGGAAGTAGGACCACAATGCCCCTTGGAAGCCAGAATGATGAGACTTCACATTTCTGACATGTTATCAGGAGGGGCCAATCACTGGAGGAGGACATCATGGTAAGTTGACCAAAAAAAAAAAAAAAAAAAGAGGAAGACCCCCCCAACAAGATGGATTGGCACAATGGAAGCAGCAATGGACTCAAGTGTCACAACAATTGTGAGGATGGTGCAGGACTGGACAGTATTTCATTCTGTTGTGCATAGGGCCACTATGAGTTGGACAGACTCGATGGCACCTAACAACAATTTGACAATAAATGATTGTTTTATTTTGATGAGAAGATTTATTCGTTTTCTTTGAGATTATCCTTGAATTTATTATTTTCTTCCCAACTTTTAAATAGTCTGCTCTATATTGAAATTGTCTTGACTCCCACTCCATTTGGAAATTCTGTAACCACATTATTTATTCCCTCTTTTTGCTTTATAATTGCCTGCTTTCGTTTACAAATTTATATCTCTGATTCCCTATTTTCAGTCTTGTGGTTTTAATTTTCTTCTTGGGAGTAGAAAGCCTCATATTTCTCCTGTGGAGTTGCTGGAGAGCTTGAACTGTGGACATTGTGGTTCACAGTCCAGTGTTTATCATATGAAGCCACCATGCTCCCATGATGCGTAACTCCAGGGGAAAAAATCTCTTGTCTTTTCGTATAAGGCATTGTTTCAGCAGTGTGATGGAATTGTTTAACAATAGTTTTCCTAAGAGAAGGGGAAACTCTGCTTTGCAGGAATAACAAATTCCTGTGATGTAAATAATCCCATTATGGAGTCCTGGTGTGGCGCTGTAAAATAAACGCTGGATTGCCAACCACAAGGTTGATGGGTCAAACCTACCCGTCGCACCTTGGGAGCTCTATACAGGGTTGCTATGAGTCAGGACTGACTCCAAGACACTCAACAACAGTGGACTGTTTCAGGCTACCAGTATGAAGTTACTTGGGGCTGGGAAAAGATGCCACAGTTAATTTACTAATCCTGAAACCAGCAAACTAAAAAATCAAACAAAGACACCTAAAATTTCAAAAGAAAAAATGGAAATGTAAAGTCCATTTAAAAATGTTATATAAATACATGTTCAAGAACAAAAAATGGCACAAAGAAATTCCGGGAAAACACCAAGACCAGAGATCTTAGACAAATACCAAGCCTGGAACTGAACTCACCCTGTGGCTCAACTTTCAGCCAATCAACAGGCCAACTATTGTTGTTAAGCACTGCTGAGTCAGTTCTGACTCATAGTGACCCTGTATACGGTTTCCAAGGAGAAGCTGGTGGGTTTGAACCGCCAACCTTGTGGTTCGCAGTCCAATGCTGATCCTACAGGACTCTATTGTTGTTGTTAGGTGTCATTGAGTTGGTACCGACTCATAGCGACCTTATGCACAGCGGAATGAAACACTGCCCGGTCCTGGGCCAACCTCACAATTGTTGCCACGCTTGAGCCCATTGATGCTGCCACTTGGCCAATCCATCTTGCTGGGGGTCTTCCTCTTTTTCTCTGACCCTCCACCTTACCAAACATGATATCCTTCTCTAGTGACTGGTGCCTCCTGACAATATGTCCAAAGTATGAGAGACAATGTTTGGCCATCTTGACCTCCAAGGAGCACTCTGGCTGCACTTCTTCCAAAATGGATCTATCAGTTCTTTTGGCAGTCCATGGCACTTTCAATACAGGACTCTAGACAGGCCTATAAGGTGAAATGAAAGCACTAGGAAGGTATTCACTCTTTAGGATAATCAACCGTTTAGATCAAAAGGGCAGCATTTGCCCAAGGACAAAACTCAGAAGGCTGGAAGGATAGGAAAGAACGCTGAATAGAAACAGTAAACACAGGGAAGAAGTGCAATAGTCTCTTACAGTGTGGGGATTGCAATCAATGCATGAATCAAAACATGTATAAATTGTTGAATGGAAAACCAACTTAATCTGTAAACTTAAACCCAAATCACAATAAAAAGGAAAAGGAAAGAAAAATCATGAAAAAAGAGAAGACAGGAAATGAATACGTGGCCTGCAGGTTCTCCACACCCATTGTATGACTCTCACAGTTCTGTAGAACAAGATTAACCTTTAGTTTTAAATGAACAATATGGATTCATAGGGAATTATTCATTAGACCGGGATTGCACAAATAGCAAATATTAGGGCCAAGACTTGAACCCAAGTCTGCCTAACTACAGATTCTCTCCTCTAAACCCATGTCTAGAAGGTGTTATCCACGAAGTCCAGTAAGATAAATCTTGATGCGTTGTCACCACACTAGTGGTATAATTGTTGTTGTTGTTGTTAAGTGCCATCAAGTTCGTTACAACCCATAATGACCTTGTATAGGGTAATTATGTCTTGACTCTTAAGCAGAATTGTAAATCATGAAGATTTTTAAATCATCTTGATGGTTTAGTTTCATAGCATATTAGTTTTTCTTGGCTTATATACATTCTCCAACATTATAAAACCATTGATCTGTGCTGTTTGCCCTCATTTGTTCCCAGGAACACTCTGGAAAAAGAGAATACAGCTTGAGTCCCTTGTAAACAATGCCTGCTTTTGCCTTCTTCTCCAGGCTACTACATGTACATCGAGGCCTCCAATATGGTGTATGGGCAAAAGGCACGCCTCTTGTCCAAGCCTCTGCGGGGAGTGACCGGGAAACACTGTTTGACCTTTTTCTACCACATGTATGGAGCAGGGACTGGCCTGCTGAGTGTTTATTTGAAAAAGGAACATGACAGGGAAGAGTCTCTCTTGTGGAGAAGAAGAGGGGAGCAGAGTATTTCCTGGCTCCGCGTGCTGATTGAGTACCGTTGTGAGAGGCAACACCAGGTAAGAAACAAAGATAGACTCAAGTAATGGGAAATAGGCATACAATCTTTTGATGCTCTTTCTTTCTTTTTCTACCAAAGAGAATAGTTTGTTATTCTTCACGGCCATAGATAAAAGCAAGGTTCATTTCAAAGAAATTGACTCAGTCTGAGCGACAATTAGGAAATTGGTTGGATGACAGAGAAGAACTTTAGGTACTTAAGCATAATGTGATTTTTAACAACTCGGTGATGAAAGTGGAACTGTGTTTGTCTTAGTACATTGTGTCAAATAGATTTCTATGTGTCCAGCAAATCTCCAAGCCAGAGTGTCCCTTTTATCTAAAATTGGTATCATTGTTATAGCTTCCTCTTCTACTCATCATTCTCCACATGCTTGTACAGCTCTTGTACAAGCCTTTGATTAGCAGAAGTCCCTGACCGGGTGATGGCTGCCAAGGTTAGAGGTTCAGAGAGGCCTGGGGATTTACTTCCCCAAAATCAATTACTGAAATCCCTATACTCAGACACAAATGGTGTCTCCATGACTCCATGACAACTTGTAAGTTTTTTTAAGCCTACATCCAGATTACTTGATCCCACATCCTCCTGAGTCTCCTATATGTTATAGAAAGTATTCATCCTGGAGGATTCTGGTCACAAGGGACACTGATAAACCATAAACCCAAACCAAATCCACTGCCATCAATTCTGACTCAAAGCCACGCTGTAGGACACAGTAGAAATGCTCCGTAGGATTTCCAAGGCTGTTCATCTTTTCAGGAGCAAACAGCCTCATCTTTCTCCCATAGAACAGCTGGTGGGTTAGAACAACTGACTTTGTGGTCAGCATCCCAACAATTAAACCGTCGCTCCACCAGGACTCCTTAACCATAGGAGAGAGCCTTTTAAATGTCAATAGGCAGAGTTGGACAGTTTAGAGAGCCCCAGCTGCTTTCTGAAAACCACTGATTTTTCCTATCCTGAGGCCATATCTCTAGGCAGTTCTAGGAAGATAAACTTTTGACTCCTGATTGTTCCTGAAATTGTCCTGTAGAATTCTCAAGTGTTACCTAAAATTAAAAGCCTTGCTTCCACTTCATGCTTGCTTCACTTGGACCAGCCCCCATCAGCTTTCACTACTGACTGACTGGTCTAAACCCAAATCCTCTTGGAAAGAAGTGTCTAACATAAGGGTGCAACCCCAGGACCAAAATCAATATTCTACTCAAAGGCAAATTACCCAATAAGCAAGGTTATTATCAGAGATGTGATAAAACTCATGTGAAATTGTTCATTGTACACTAGTAAGTAAAATAAGTAAATCTATGCTTACTTTGGTTATTGGGCAAGCCAACATTGATTGTACCAATGGAAATGGGAAGGATTAGAAGGCACTCAAGTGGCCAGGTTGCCGTGTCATCTGTGGTCCTTCACTGTTAAAGACAAATGACAAAGGGGAGATGTGCTGTTATCCAGGAAGGAGAAAAATAGAAATGTGGTGAAGAATAAGTAATAGCCCTAGCAATGCTTTGGATTGTGATTTAATGTCTGTTTACCAAAGGAAAGCAGATCCTTCCAGACCTTACTGATATCACTGATCCTCATTCTGGGAGGAAGGATTAACTCTGTTGGCCTTTGTGGGCCCTCATGTGTCTATCCTATTCAAATGGTTGTCAAAATGTGGTCCTGGAGGCAGCAGCAGCAGCAACACCTGAATTGCATATTCACCTAAATGCAGACTCTCAGGCCCCAGCTCAAAACTGCAGAGTCAGACACTGGAAAAAGTGTCCTGCAATCTCTGCTTTAACAAGTCCTCCAAGTGATTGCTATATGCACTTGCAGTAGGGACTCTCAGGCCTAGACAAGTTGAATATAAAGCTGTGTGTACGGGGCCTGGGCATTGGTATATGTTTAAGTCATCAAGTAATTTGAGTACACATGGGCTCTAAGAACCAGCTTGGCTTGGCCACAGGACCTTTCACAGGATACTTGGCTTACTGGCTGGCTGGTCATTTGAAGTGATTTTCAAATATGAGGTAGAGAGGCATCTGGGCTGTCATGTTGGAGAGTTCAAAATCCAAGGGTTCAGGATAGCCCTGGAGATTTGCAGCTCACAGCCTGGGAGGATTACATCAGATCTGCCTGTGGCTTAGAATGAAACAGATATGAATCTGCTATGAGGAGTTCAGTCCTCTGGACTGAAAACATTTCTTCAGAAATCCCAAAGGACTGCTGGGAGACGGGACTGATCAAGTAGCTCAAGAACATCCTGGTGTCTAATAAAACACAGACGGATGAACTGGAATTGGCCATCTGCTATGAGAGAGGCACTTAAAGTGTGAAGAAGTGTACAGAACTTCTTTCATTGATCTTACAGTTCCGTTGGACAGATGAGAAAGGGAAAAGTAAATGCCTTCTGAGAAGTGGCAGAGAGAGACTTCAAACCCAGACCTGCCTGCTTCCAAGGCTACACCCCTCACCATTACTCTCTACTGCCACCCACCAGAGAAGTTCTACAATATCTTCATTCTCCTGGGGTTCTCAAGTACTCATTGGACTTGGGGAGATCTTATTTTCTCTGAGATTGTTTATACATTTACAAAGTTATCCAGGGTTAGAGTGAGGGTCAAATGAGGTGATGTACATGGAAAACTTTTGTACACTTTAAAGTACCAAAATGTAAAGAGGTATTATCATTCCTAAAAATGTATTCCCTCCAGAATCTCCCTGGTCTTTAATTCATATCGTTGTGGCTAACCTGAAATTCTCAATAGCAATTTCATGCATTCAGGCTAAACTCTTGAAGTCTGAGACCAAAGTTGCTCATTTAATAAATATTTATTGACCACTTGCTATGCTAGGAGCTGGGGATACTGTGATGAATAAAACATATAAAGTTCCTAACCTTTTAGAGTTCACATTCTCATGGGGAAGAGGAATAAAGAGTAAAACAAAAGTATATAGCATCCCAGTTAGTAGGAGCTACAAAGTGGATGGAGCTTGAAGACCGGATGCTGAGTGAAATAAGCCAGTCAGAAAATGACAAGTATCATATGCTGTCAGTCATCTAAAAATACAAGAAAAGGAAAATGTTATAGAGACCAACGTTTATTAATAGTTACCAGGAGCAAGAGGGAGAGGGAAATGAAGATGGTGGCTAATGGAGAGGAAAAAATTGCATTGATTAAGAGTAGAGTGCACAGCAAATTATGTAATTGCTGTCAGTAAACCTGTAAAAAGTAGAATTGGTAACAGTTGTGTGATAGATATCTTTAAAACATGACCAAAAAAAAAAAGAAGAGTAGTCTCTGCGGCTGCTGATGCACAACCAAACATCTCGTGGGATTTGCTTCCATGGTTTGGAGGTTTAGGATCATGGTTTCATGGAACATCTCAGTTAATTGGTTTAATAATAGGTTTAGTACTTCTGTTCTAGCTCCTAGTTTGTTGTATGGTGCCTGAGGTCTTAAAAGCTTATAAGCAGCTTTTCAAGGCACAACAGTTGACCTCTATTTGCCTGAAGCAACAGAGGAAGGAGCAGAGTCAAGATTTGTTGTTATTGTTATTAAGTGCTATGCTGTCGATTTGGTTCAGTCGACTCATAGTGACCCTATATAGAATTTCTGAAGAGCGGCTGGTGGGTTTAAACTGCCGACCTTGTGATTCGCAGTCCAGTACTGATCCACAGCATCCCATCAGAAGTCCAGAGTCAAGAATGGAGGAGGATATATATATATATATAATAAGGAGCTCTGGTAGTGTAGTGGTTATGAATCGGGCTGCTAAACTCAAGGTTGGCAGTTCAAAACTACCAGCTGTTCCGTGGGAGAAAGATGAGACTTTCCGCTCCCATAAAGATTTGCAGCCTCAGAAGCCCTGTGTTGGGTCACTATGAGTCTGAACCAACTCTACGGTACTTAACAACAACAACAACAATTGCCTCCATGAATAATTGCCACCTTGCAATTGAGACCAGAAGAACTGAATGTTGCCTGCCTGCCATTACTGAACATTTTGGCCAAGGATTCTACAGGGGCATCCTGATGAAAAGGTGTAAACAGAATTTTCAAATTCTCATGAACTTTTTGAAGCCATGGGGGCTGCATGAACTCCTGAAACTATTGCCCTAAGATAATTTTTAAGCCAATTTCCAAAAATATCTCTTGTACTCTTCTTAAAAGCAAACAATAGATTAGTTTAAACCAAACCAAACCCACTTCTGTCAAGTCTATTCCGACTCACAGTGACCCTATAGACCTGAGTAGAGCTGCCCCATAGGCTTTCTAGGACTGCAGATTTTTATGGACGTTCTTGTTGTTAACTACCATCCCAGTATAGGATTTTCAGGGAGTTGCTGGTGGATTTAAATTGCTGAACTTAATGTTAGCACCACACAAGACTTCAACCTTGAGTATGGTAATGTGGTGGTGGTGGTATGCCATGGAGCTGGTTCCAAATCATAGGGTTTCCAAGGCTGTAAATCTTTACGGGAGCAGAAAGCCTCATTTTTCTCCTGCAGAAACACTGGTAGTTTCAAACTGCTGACCTTGTGGCTAGAAGCCCGACTGGTAACTACTACGCTACCAGAGCTCCTTTCCACCTTGAATCTATATATCCTAACTGAATTTAGACACCATCTCAGTAACAGATTTGTTGTATTAGACACTAATGACTGAAAACTAGAGTTGTTGTGGGATGACATCAAGAACATCATACATGAAGAAAGCAAAAGATCATTAAAGAGTCAGGTAAGGAAAAAAAAAAAACATAATGGATGTCAGAAACGACTGAAATTTGCTCTTGAATATTCAACCTGTATGCTGAGCAGATAATCCAAAAAGCTGGATTATATGAAATAAAGCATGGCATCAGGATTAGAGGAAGACTTATTAACAACCTGCGATATGCCGATGATACAACCTTGCTTGCTGAAAGAGGACTTAAAATACTTACTGATGAAAATTGAAGACCACAGCCTTTGATATGGATTGCATCTCAATGTAAAGAAAACAAAAATCTTCATCACTGGACCAATGAACAACATTCTTATCAATGGAGAAAAGACTGAAGTTGTCAAAGATTTCATTCTTCTTGGATCAACTATCAACATTCATGGAAGCAGCAGTCAAGAGATCAGACGACGTATTGCATTAAGCAAATCTGCTGCACAAAACCTTTTTAAAGTGTTGAAGAGCAAAGATGTCTGCTTGAAGACTAAGGTGTGCCTGACCCAAACCATGGTATTTTCAATAACCTCATATGCATGCGAAAACTGGACAGTAAATAAGGAAGACCTTATTCTTAAGAATAGAATTGATGCTTTTGAGTTATGGTGTTAGAGAATATTGAAAGTACCATGAGCTGCCAAAAGAACAAACAGATCTGTGTTAGAAGAAGTGCAGCCAGAGTGCTCCTTGGAGGCCATGATTGCCAAACTTCGTCTCTCATACTTTGGACAAATTGTCAGGAGGGGACCAGTCTCTGGAGAAGGATATCATGTTTGGTAAGGTGGAGGGTCAGAGAAAAAGGGGAAGACCCTGAGCAAGAAGGATTGGCAAAATGGCAGCAGCAATGGGCTCAAGCATGGCAATAATTGTGAGGTTGGCCCAGGACCGGGCAGTGTTTTACATAGGGTCACTATGAGTCAGTACCGACTCAGTGGCACCTAACAACAACAGCAACAATAGAGAGGCTACAGTGAAAGGAAGAAATGCAGAAGTAAAACAGATAAACAGAAAATTTCAAAAGGCAGCTGGAGAAGACAATCAAAACAGATTCCTTTTCCTTCCTGGCTTTATCTTTGAGGTTATAATATTTAACATCATGGGAGTACCACTGTCTGTTTGATGAATTTAATTCTTATGGTTTGCTTTTCATAGATGAGCATCATCAGTAACATTCAATTCCTCTACCTAGTACCAGTATCAAGGGAAGATTTTATCAGGACCCTAAGGAAGCTAGGAGTTTCTGGGTGGTATGAATGGTTAATTGCTCACTGCTAACCAAAAAAGTTGGAGGTTCCAGTCCATGCAGAGGCACCTCAAAAGAATGGTCAGGCAATCTGCTTCCAAAAAGTATCAGCCATTGAGAATTTTATAGAGCACAGTTCTGTTCTGATAACCATATGTTGCCAGGACTCAGAAAGTGACTCCAGTACAACTGGTTTGTGTTTTTCTCTAAGGACATATAAGTTTCTGGGCTTCTCATCACACTTACAGTCGCTGTGAGAGCTGAGAGATGCTGGGAGTTCTAAGTGGGGTGGGTAGAGCATGTCCAACCAGCAAGCATTTCTAAGTAAGCATTTGGGGGAAATTGCCTTCAGAGATTTTGAAGGAAAAGGACCTGACTCTCCAAAGCTCCAATAATTTGTTGTAAATTTCTTTTTTTCTTATTAAATTACTATTAACTTCTATACCCAAGTTTGAATTTGTTATTTTATATTCTTTTTCTTAAATACAATCCCAGGAACCATCTAAACTTCCAGTCCTACAAATGGTGATTCTGATCCAAACTGGCATCTTTTTCTTTTTCTTTTTTTTTTGGTCAGGATGACTATATTTCTAATTCACACTTAACTGTTTTACAGATAATTTTTGAAGCCATTCGTGGATTATCAATAAGAAGTGATATTGCTATTGATGATATTAAGTTTCAGGCAGGACCCTGTGCAGGTAATTATATTATTTGTAATTAAATAAGCTTGATTGAAAATAGATTTTGCAAAACAGTCTCAACTGTTAGAATACAAACTATGTATTCTTGTACAATAAAAATTTAAAAATAACTATTACCTTCTGTCTTTCCTAGCAGAAATTGAAGATACAACTCAGCAATCATCAGGATATTCTGAGGACTTAAATGAAATTGAATATTGAGAAGTGGATTGAATCAGATTAAGAAAGTAAACAAAAGCTGTACCTCGCTTCAATCAAAATGAAAACAAAACAAGTGAATACTGGACAATTCCTAAGTTATTAAATGACTTGGGAGCACCCTTCTTCATTACTTTGGCAAAATATAATGACTCAGGGCTTTTTTTTTTTTTTTTTTTGTATATGACAACTGTTACTAGAAGTACAGGCTGTTGGTTTTGCGTAGATCATTCATCTTTTAGTGTTTGTACCATTTAAAAAATACAATCTTACTATATGGTAGTCATTTTAAAGTACACAAATAAAGGGCACAATCAGAATGACAGGTGCTTACTTAAGTCTGCATTCAGTGAATGTATTGGAAGAATAGCTCTTGTGGGTTTCCTTTTGAATTTCAGGTGTCATAAATAATTTTAAAGTAAGTAATGTGAGGTGTCGGTAATTCTGCAGATTGAATGCAGTTTTTTATGGTAACAAGTCAGTTTGAGAAAATAAAGCCTTATTATCTATGGTTTTTTGTAGAAAGAGAATATTGATGCTTTACCTTTTCACCATCTGTGATAACAAAGAATCTTTCTTGAATGTCCCAGAGTACATCGATATTAATGCTGCATTCCAAGGCAATGCTACCTTCTTTTTCTCTTTTGAACCACTTTTGAGAGTCATAATAAGCACTTGGATAAAAATTGCACTCTGTTTTGGTAAGGGAAGCTTGAAAATGTTTATGCACGCACATCCAGTGATTTTTTTTATCAACATGTTAAACAATTTTTACTGATTTTTAAAAAATATATGCTTGGAAAGATTTAGAGATATATTAATGCAAGCAGGACTACTGCTTTCTTTCTATTAACATGTTCCAAAAATTGTATGTGCATTTTTGTGAACGAAGATGGCTTTTATGAAATTATAAAAGTACTTAATAAAGAGAAATTTGAAATCCTCTTCCCTTAGCAATCAATTCATTTCCATGTTTTCTTTATGAAAATATCTTCACATAACTGCAGATTCTAATTTGAATTTCTACTTTGTTACAATTAAATGCTTCCTTAAGCCCTTTTATTAATGAGCACTTGTAGCGTATTGGGTTACAAGTTGGGCTGCTAATCACAAGGTCAGACGTTTGAATCTACCTGCTGTTCTACAGGAGAAAAATGAGGCTTTCTGCTCAGAAACCCTATACAGGCTCGCTATGAGTCAGAATTGACTCCAAGGCACATAACCTCCACCACCAAGCCCTTTTATTAGTCTTTGTCACTTTCTCAAAACAATGAATATGACCTTTGTTCCCTGACTTCTCATTCCCGTGCAGGGGGACATGCTTTCTCACGTGATTTCACCAGAATTGGAAAAATAAATAAGTTTTGCAACTGATCGTTCTAATGCATTTTCGACATGTGGATTCCTAGAGGGAGGAGCTATAGAGTCATCATTCAGGGCATGATATCTGGATTCAGGTTGTCTCTGTTCAGATCCTGGCTTTGTGATTTGCAAGCTGTGTGACTGAAGGACAGTCACTGGCACGCTCTCTGACTCCTTTTCCTCATATGTAAATGGGGCTGATGAGGCTTTCTACTCCCATAAAGATTTACACCCTCGGAAACCCTATACAGGGTCGCTATGGGTCGGAACCGACTCAACAGCACTTAACAACAACAACAACAAATGGGGCAGAAGCTAGTTTCTTGGTAAGTTTGCTGCAAAGATCAAATGGAAACAATACATAGATAATGAGCATTTACAGTAGTGTCTGACACCCAAAAACTATCTTAGTTTATAAGGGTTAAGTGAAAATTTCAAATACATTCCAGTTATTTTAACATAGTTCTCGATAAAGGAATTGTGAGTTTATAGTGCCATCTTAAGGATTAAGCAACCACATAACTTTGTCATTTTATCATCTTCTTATCCAGAAGCTGGTCAATGCCTTATCTTTTTTTCTTCCTAACTCTGTTGCTGTTATGTGCTGTGGAGTTGGTTCTGACTTATAGCGACCCTGTACAGGATTTCCAAGGCTATAAATCTTTACGGGAGCAGAAAGCCTCATCTTTCTCCTGCGGAACAGCTGGTAGTTTCAAAGTGCTCACCTTCTGGTTCGCAGCCCATTTCGTAACCACTACGCTACCAGAGCTTCTTAACTCTAGCCATTGTTAATGGTTATTCTGAGTTGCCTTCCCTCTGCCACATTGTTGTGGTGGTGGTAAAGTGCCATCAAGTCAGACGAAGCCTCATCTTTCTCCTGCAGAGTGGCTGTCAGGCTCAAACCATGGACATTGAGGCCCGCAGTCCAGTGCTTATCATATAGAGCCACGTAAAATGTAAACCTCCATCTCCTAGAGAACAGACTTTTATTCAATTTTATACTCCTACTGTCTAGCTGTGGCACTGTGGGCTAATGCACTGGACCACAAGATCAGTTTGAACCACAAGATTGGTGGTTCAAGCTCACCAACTGCTCCTTGGAAACCCTATCCTGGGTCTATATGAGTCAGAACTGACTTGATGGCACTTAACTGTCTAGCTGGATGGTGTGGCACTGTGGGTTAATCACAGTACTGCAAAGTCGGTTTGAACCACAAGGTTGTTGGTTCAAGCTTACCAACTGCTCCTCAGAAACCCTATACAGGGTCGCTGTGGTTCAGAACCAACTCAACATCACTTAACAACAACAATAACTGCCTACCTAAGGTGGCACACTGGTGGAAATACTCAACTACTAACCGAAAGGCCGACAGTTTTAACTCATCAGCAGCTCTGAGGGACAAAGATATGGGAGAGTACAGCCTAGGAAGTTCTACTCTGGGGAAGTTCTTCTCTGTCATCTAGGAGTTAACATGAGTCAGAATAGACTCAACATCACACACCTGTAGAGAGTCAATGAAAATGAAGAAAGTCTTTCATCAAATGGATTGATACAGTAGCTGCAAAAATGTGTTTTAACCTACCAGTAATTGTGAGGATGACATAGATCAAGTAATGTTTTACTGTTATTCATAAAATTGCCATGAGTCACAGCTGACTAGATGACAACTAACAACTGTCTAGCATACTCAACAAATTGTTGTTGGTAGGTGCTGTTGAGTCAGTTACAACTCTAAGCAGCTTGATAAGGAGTCTTCAATTTTATGTCATGTTTTTCCTCATATAACCAAGCTTTTTGGATTATTTGTTCAGCATACATATTGCATAAGTATGGTGAAATAATATAGTCCTGGCGTACACCTTTCCTGATTTTTAAACCATTCAGTATTTCCTTGGTCTGTTCAAATGAATGTCTCTTGGTCTTTGTACAGGCTTCTCATGACCACCATCAAGTGCTCTGGACTATCCATTCTCCACAATGTTATCTATAGTTTGTCATGATCTACCCAGTCGAAAGTCTTTGCATAGTCAACAAAGCACAAGTAAACATCTTTCTGATATTCTCTACTGACAGTCAAGATCTACCTGATGTCAACAATGATATCCCTAGTTCCATATCCTCTTCTGAATCCATCTTGAATTTCTCACAGTTGCATGTGATATTCATGGTATTATTCCATGATTTCTGCATTCCATAGGGTCATCTCTCTTTGGAATGGGCACAAATATGTATCTCTTCCAATCTGTTGGCCAGGTAGCTGTCTTGCAAATTTCTTGGCTTAGATAAGTGAGAACTTCCAATCTGTTCGTTGAAAAGTTTCAGATTCTATTCCATCAATTCCTGGAGCCTTGCTCTTTGTCATTACCTTCAATGCAAGTTGGACTTCTTTTTGTTAGGTGCCATCAAGTCGGTTTCGAGGCATAACAACCCTATGTGCAACAGAATGAAACCCCACCTGGTCCTTCTATTGCTGCTATGCTTGAGCCCATTGCTCCTGCCACTGTGTCAATCCATCTCATTGGGGATCTTCCTCTTTTTTGTTGATGCTTCATTTTACCAATCATGATGTCTTATTCCAGGGACTGGTCCTTCTTTTATGTCCAAAGTATGAGAGATGAAGTCTGATCATCTTGGCTTCTAAGGAGCATTCTGGTTGTACTTCTTCTAACACAGATTCAATTGTTCTTCTGGCAGTCCGTGGTATCTTTAATATTCTTCTCCAACACCTTAACTCAAATGCATCAGTTATTCTACAGTCTTCCTTATTCATTGTCCAACTTTCACATGCATCTGAAGCTAATGAAAATATTATGGCTTGGGTCAGATGAACCTTAGTCCTCAAACTTACAGGTCATGGAGTCCTGGTGTAGTGCTGTAGAATAAGCAGTTGACTGCAAGGTTGGTTTGAGCCACAAGGTCGATGGCTCAAACTCACCAGCTGCTCCTAGGAAACCCTACGTAGAGTCACTGAGTTGGAACCAACTCAATGGCACTTAACAGCAACAACAGAGCAACTCACTGGCTCAAGTCTAAAGAAGCAGAGGTTGGATGAGCCAGATTCTGGATGAAGGCCCAGTAGAAAAATCAAACAAGAATTGCCCAGGTGTCCAATACATTGGAAGCAGGCCACACCCTTTCAGCTGTTTGGCTGCTCACAGTTGATCTTATCATGAAGTTGATTGCATTATATTAGATCTCATCATGGAGGATTGTTGTTAGGAGCTATCGAGTCGGAATGAAACAATGTCCAATCCTGGGCCAACCTCACTACCGCTGCCACAACTTGACGCCATCAATGATCCTGGCCGATCCATCTTGTTGGGGGTCTTCCTCTTTTTCTCTGACCCTCCATCTTACCCAGCATGACATCCTTCTCCAGCGACTGTTCCCTCCTGACAATATGTCCAAAGTATGAGAGACGAAGCTTAGCCACCCTGGCCTCCAAGGAGCACTCTGGCTGCACTTCTTCCAAAACAGATCTATTGGTTCTTTTGGCAGTCCATGCCACTTTTAGTATTCTCCTCCAACATCACAACTCAAAGGCATCAATTCTTCTACGATCCTCCTTATTCACTGCCCAGCTTTCACATCCATATGAGGTTTTTGAAAATACCATGGCTTGGGTCAGGCGCACCTTAGTCCTCAAGCTGACATCTCTGCTCTTCAACACTTTGAAAAGTTCCTGTGCAGCAGATTTTCCCAATGCAATACGTCGTCTGATCTCTTGACTGCTGCTTCCGCGAGTGTTGATAGTTGATCCAAGAAGAATGAAGTCCTTGACAATTTCAATCTTTTCTCCTTTGATAAGAATGTTGTTTATTGGTCCAGTGGTGGGGATTTTTGTTTTCCTGACATTGAGATGCAACCCATACCGAAGGCTGTGCTCTTTGATCTTCATCAGTAAATGTTTCAAGTCTTCCTCATTTTCAGCAAGCAAAGTTGTATAATCTACATATCACAGGTTGTTAATGAGTCTTCCTCCAATCCTGATGCCACGTTTTTCTTCATAGAACCCAGCTTCTTGTATTATTTGCTCAGCCTACAGGTTGAATAAGTATGGTGAAAGAACACAACCTTGTTGCACACCTTTCCCAATTTTAAAACATTCAGTGTTCCCATGCTGTGTTCGAACAACTGCTTCTTTGTCCAGGTACAGATTTCTCAGAAGTACAATTAAGTGTTCTGGAATACTCATACTTCTCAATGTTGTCCATTGCTTGTCATGATAACCAAATCACTGAGAATTCTGGCCCAATCAAGTTGGCACAAAACCTTAACTATCCCAACCCACCTCTTGTCTCGTGGCACCTATACAAATCTCCTTAAACCATACATGATGTTATTAAGTGTCATCGGGTCGATTCTGACTCATAGTAACTTTGTATAGGGTTTCCAAAGAGCAACTGGTGGGTTTGAACTGCTGACCTTGTGGTTTGTTCACAGTCCAGTGCTGATCCTACAGAGCCACACCAGGAGTCCAAACCATACATAACTTCTAAATAAAGACAATTATAAAGTCACACTTGCAACTAACATGATACAACATGCTCACAACTGAAAATACACTAACCCCATTTACAT